CTTGATAATATTTTTCTGGATTCTTGCACTTTATTTGTATCATTGTCATATGAGAAGTACTCTTGTCCTTATTTAGAGATATTGAAACTAATTCAGGGCCACAAACTACATGTAGATCTGTACATGAAGTACATGGGAAGTAAAGTTGTTGACACAGGTAATGTACACCAAGGATCATTGCAGTTTCTCAGTTCCTCATCTGGTGCTAGTACTTGTATGACAAACAGTATCTTTGCCCGGTTACTGTTTGAAATAGAAGTTTTTCGCTGGAACAGTTCTGTGATTGACAGTGTTCTTGTATTAGGAATACAGTTGTACAAGGAAGTTTATCCAAACAGACACAACACTGACTCTTCAACATGCTGTGGAATACTTTATTTTCGCTGGAATTAATTTTCGCTGAAAAGGCTTTTTGGGCATTTTGTATGGAATTTATTTTCACTGATTTTGGACGAGTTTAATGTGAAATATAGGAAAAAAAGTATATTCGCTGGATTTTATTTTCACGGAATCATCCCTTCAGCGAAAATAGCGAAAATAAATTCCAATTTGCAGATCTGATTTGCATACTTGCATGTCATTTTACCTCTTGTACTTGTTTGTTGCTCTCTGGTGTTCTTGCTGAGACCAGGATGGAGAGTGCTATAAACTTGAAAATGCTATAGAATCATGTTTGCCAATTTACATCCATGCCAAAAACTGGACAAATTATATGTTGCAACTTTCAGTGTCATTCATGACCTGTTTGATTGGTTAAAGTTTTACGACTTGGAGGCCATTTTCCCTCAAAAATCTAAAAAAAAAAAACAAGCTTTTTCTAGCTGTTAACAGCTTTTTTTCAGATATGTGTCATCCAGTTTTGTTCAAAGTTGGTACAGGGACAGGTAATAATTGTTTACAAGTGCACATCGCATTATATGTTTAACAAGTTATAAATTGTCTCAGAAAAGCCAAATGAATAAATTTTTACCCCACCCCCTAAAATTGTAACACATCAATTCTGAACATTTAATAACTGAATTTTAATACAGCTCATAATCAATTAATTCACTCTGACACAAACTAAGTTCAATATAAGTTTTTAAATTTTTTTCTGAGCGAGGGCTATGACATGACATGACATGTCATGTCTTGTTGATACTGAAAACATAATCGGGCACATTTTCCAACATTGACGCTAACGAGAAACTACTTGAAAGGACAAGTTATTGCAAACTCGATATTGCGAATCCAAAATTGGGCATTGCGTCAACTATAACTTCTGAATTTGGCATTTTCTGTGTCTGTAAAGGTCATATGACCATCTACAAAATTGCTGAGACTGTATTATGCATGAAGGATCTCTAGATATCACATCACTGTAATATATGTACATGTATTAGAAGCTGTGGCTTCTATTAAAATGGTACATGTATAATGCAACAGAAGGTATTAAGTTTCTATTACAGTATCTACACAATTTAAATTGTTTACAATCAATGGGTGCGGCTTCTATTAGAGGTGCAGTTTTCTTTAATACAGATTTTATGGTAGGTCAGAGAATGCCCTTGGAGAACCAAGCATAAGAACATGTGCAGTGTTGTAAACTTATGGGTACTATGTTTCTCAGCACACAAACGTTACACTTATTTTTGAACAACTCACATGTTAGGCAATTACTTGTTTGTTCCCAGTCGGACCTAGTTGAAAACAGGGATTGCCAAATTTTACTTATATGTTGCTATTATTTTTTAAGAACTTTTATACAATTCATGTGATATTATTATGCAAGGAACATAAAGATTTATACAGTATATGTAGTATTACTTGAGAAACATGAATATTAATTAATATTTTATTACAAAGACTTTATTGTCCTTGTCGGAATTGTTCCCATCCCATATTATTATTTTCCCCTTTTACAGATTTATTTAATCTTAGTACATATAGATAGTACATATAGATAGTATACATGAAGATGCATCAGCACCATTTTTCATCTACAAAGTCGACACAGCGGAGCTATTCATATTACTGATTGTATGTCGTTCGCCGTCGTCAACTTTTTAGCTCAGCTGTCGACTTTGTCGAGCGGAGCTTATCATATGAGTGATTGTCCGTCGTCATCCGTGTCAACGTTTTACTTTTTCGACTTCTTCTTGAAAACTACAAGCCTGAATGCTTTGATACTTGGTGTATATGTATTTTGGACCTCTTTTAGGTTTGTTCATTTCATGATGATATCTTCAATTCTCTAATTTTGGTGAATATTTTTGTCATTTTTGGTAAAAAGTGATATTTTCGACTTCTTGTTAAAAACCGCAAGTCCAATTGCTTTGATATTACATATATATGTCCCACATGTGGACCTCTCTCAGATTTGTTCATTTTGTAATGAAACCTTAATTCTCTAATATTGGTGAATATTTTTGGTAAAAAGTGATATTTTCGACTTCTTGTTAAAAACTATAAGTCCGATTGCTTTGATACTATACATATTGTTCATTTTCTAATGATGTCTTCAGTTCTTTAATTGAAATGTGCATTGCTAACAGCGGAGCTATCTCAGCCGACTGGCTGCTTGTTACAATTTCAACTTCTTCGAAACCGCAAGTCAGAATGTTTTCAAATTTGATATGCAAGTACCTTGGATGGTTCTTTCTCAGATTTGTTCATTTTTGGTAAAAAGTGATGTTTTTGACTTCTTGTAAAAAACAGCAATATCTGATTACTTTGATATTACATACATAGGTACTACATGTGGACCTCTCTCAGATTTGTTCATTTTGTAATGATATCTTTAATTCTCTAATTTGGGTGAATATTTTTGTCATTTTTGGTAAAAAGTGATATTTTCGACTTCTTGTTGAAAGCCGCAAGTCCGATTGCTTTTATATGCATGTGGACCTCTTTCAGATTTGTTAATTTCGTGGTGATATCTTCAATTATCTAATTTTGATGATTGTTTTTGTCATTTTTGGTGGAAAGTTAAAGTTTTGAATTCTTGTTGAAAACAGCAAGTCCCATTGCTTTGATACTATACATATTGTTCATTTTCTAATAATATCTTCTGTTCTTTTATTGAAATGTGCATTGCTAACAGCGGAGCTATCTCAGCCGAAAGGCTGCTTGTCTAATATCTTCAGTTCTTTAATTGAAATCTAGGTCAAGCAACAGTAGATGAACTGGGAAATTGAATTCAAACCTTTTATAGTATCTCTAATTACTGCAAACATCATTTCTGTGGCCTTATTTCGGTTTCTTCAAAAATAACACTTCTCTATTTGCACAATGATCACGTGATTACACGGTTCCATTTTTTTGTTGGAATATTTATTTCATATTATTTGAAAAGTAAGCTTTCCAGAAATATACAACTTGATGGGATTCAAAAAATATGTTACTTCAGAAATGTGCTATGCAATTGCAATAGCAATAACCTCTACTACCCGGTACATTAATTTGTTTGATAACGTGATTTAAGATGGCAAAATAAATAATGGCAATTTGTATGCATCAAAATCAAGCATTTCTGTTGAATATTGTCCATCTTGGTATATACATTGAACATAAAAGGACCTTAATGTTTTTCCAAATCATATTCATTATGGCTGAATTATTCAGTTTGTTATATTAAGCAAATAAAAACCTGTTGTAACCCGACTTTTTTTTTTAGATCGTTCACACCAATTTTTGAAAATAACGACAGTATTTTTCTGTTTCAGCAACTCATACCTTGGCAGCTGCAAATATAATCACTGAACAAACTGGACAGCAGAATATTGCATACACTTCAACCTATCAGAACCAGGTGAGTTCAGTTATACAAAGTAAATGCTATATCAAATGCACAATATACAGAAGATATTTGTCACCCCACAATATCAGATTTATTATCATTGGCAGAGTTATTCATATTCTACCTTCATTACTTGTTTGCATCAACTTTACATTTTCAACTTTTTGGCAAGAAAACATGATTAATTTGGCATTGCAACTCAATAGACCTTAGGTGGTTTAATTCATCAAAATACTTTCAGATTTTAGCTTGCCTGTAATGCAAATGACTATTTGGACCTGAAAGTCTGTCTTGTCCCCCAAGGATTGCCTTATGACCAACATTTTCAAACTTGGATATTTTAAAATAAAGTAAAATCTAGAATCTTTTCAAGTCGCAAGAAAATGTTACAGCATAGAAAATAGCATAGTTGTTTACACTATATTCATATTCACTTCACTTATTTAAAAAAATAACACAACAAGCATGAAATGAGGTATGCGTAGGTTGCAGTACCCAGAGCCACACGTTTATTACATATATTCCCCCCTTACAGATATTTCAATGCTAAAGCACCTACTATGAACACATTGACTGCCCAGAAAAAACAAGTCGGTAGGCTGGTTGGTGATCCGTACCGCTCAAAAAACAAGCAACATGTTTGTGGCTGTTGCCATGGTAGGACATGAACGTGAAGCTAAAGTCATTGGTTTATAACTAAAACCAAGAAGCGTATACAAAGTTCTCAAAAAAACATTCAGTCCTTCAGTTCAGAAGTCACTTTATTAGTTCCCGTTCGAACGAAGTCCGAAAACGGAGACTTATAATTCGGTCTCCGTCCGTCCGTCCGTCTGGAGTCATATCTCAGAATCCCTTGGACCGATTCCGTTCATTCTTTACATGTGCCTAGTACTTTATGTGGGACATATGCACATGCAGTGGTTTAGCGATTCGATTCAAAATGGCCGACTGGCAGCCATGATGATTTATTTCACAATTGGATCAAAGATGGCCGACTGGCAGCCATCTTGTTTTTTGAAAATGTCGTATTTTGGACATGCTTTGTCAGTTTTCATTCAAATTTAGTACATAGATCATTCATGTTAGGATACATGTCCCCGGCTGTCCGTGAGTTCCTGAGTCTGTCCGTCCGTGTGTCTGTCTGTCCGTCCGACCGTCCGTGTGTCCGTCTGTCCGTCAGTCTATCCAACGTCATATTTCAGAATCCTGTGGATCGATTCCGTTCATTCTTCGCATGTGCCTAGTACCATATGTGGGACATATGCACATGCAGTGGTTTAGCGATTCGATTCAAAATGGCCGGCTGGCAGCCATCTTGTTTTTTGAAAATGTTGTATTTTGGAGATGCTTTGTCAGTTGTCATTCAAACATAGGATACACGTCCATGACGATTTATTTCGCAATTGGATCAAAGATGGTCGACTGGCAGGCATCTGGTTTTTGTTTTTTTATGCGGTATCTTGGACGTGCTCTGTCAGTTTTCATTCAAATTTGGCACATACATGTACTTTATACATGCTAGGATGCATGTCCATGACAATTTGTTTCAAAATCTGGTCAAGGATGGCCGATTGACAGCCATCTGACTTTTTGGCCTTACTACTATATTTCCACAATTTATGTACCATTTTCATTTGTATTTGGCACATACATCATACATATCAGTGTGTTTCATAATCAGATCAAAGATGGCTGAATAATGGCTGTTTTTATTTTGGCCATATTACTATGACACGAAATGCGTGTTTTGATGTAAATAAACAATCTGCTGTATACGCCACTTGGAACTCAAGTTTCAAGGACACGCTCGTGACAACCCCTGCGCTTTAATATTACGAGCACAAAGAGAACTTAACGGGGACTGTGTCATTTTCAATGACTTGTTTTATTGCTAGGAC